TACTATGGCTGTGAAGGAGAGAGCTCTTCTCCTTGAACACGGTACAGTAATAGAACAGTGGCGCCCAGCTGGAGGATTATTTGTCCAGCAGCCGCAGTGTGTCACATCCTGTATAAAAACCTCGTGTACTACTTAAGCACTGGAGACAGGGCTGTAACGAACGCCGCTCTGTGTAATCAACTGTGTAAATGCAGCTTTGCTATTAAGACACAGCAAAGCTCTCCCCTAAATTAGGTCTTCAAGGTCAAGATGAGACGAAGCAGATGCTTTCAAAGATATACACTACACACATGCACACAAGAACACGTAGGGTGTTTCTGTGTTAAGGGTAAACAAATAAACCCTGTGCTTCATATCCATAAGATCACATGTGTTGCTGTTCCTTGATTAAAGTCTTCATCGAGTTTATTACAGAGTGAAATGTCTCCCTCCGGATTCAGTCTCTAGAGATTAACAGATTACAGTTATTAAGCCCCCAGAACTGAATCAAACACTTCCTGGTGTCATTAATAGAAAAGATGGAGATGTGTTTGCTGTTCAGGTGCAGAAGGCTATCCTGGGAAGGAACACACATTTTAAATGTAATACAGTGATTAACTGCCGGTTGCTCTAATGCTAACCTTCATTTAGCCGCTGAAAAGCTACAGACTCACCTTATCTGCCTGCCTCATGTAACAGTAGAGGATCCCTCTCATGCACTTGATGGCAGAGTGCTCCAGTTCATGGGTTCGGCCCAAGTCGTCATCGATACGCCTGGAGAACAGAGAGCTTCAACAGGCAGCTCAGGTGTGGTTCTGATCTTTTCAAGTGGTTCTGTGGAATGGTAAAAATGGTAAATGGCCTGTATTTGATATAGCACCTTCTAGAGTCCTGCGACCCCCCAAGGTGCTTTCCAACACAATCAGTCATTCACACACTGGTGGGGATGAGCTACAATGTAGCCACAGCTGCCCTGGGGCACACTGACAAGAGGCAAGTCTGCCGAACACAGGCGCCTCCGGTCCCTCTGAGCGCCACCAGCTGGCAAGGTGGGTTAAGTGTCTTGCCCAAGGACAGAGACAAACTGAGCGGGGCTCGAACCTGCATCCTTCCGATTACGAGGCGAGCATGTAACTCCTGAGCCACCGTCACCCCACGTGACTGTGGGTGATGGTTCTTTGAACTTACTCAGATTAGTTTTGACTGGATTGTTAGGCTAACAGCTACTGTGAGTAAGACCAAAGTGGATTACTGCCAGCCTACAACAACTTTTATCGCCAAACTTTCAAAAAAATAAAAACATTTTCTAAAGAAAACAATAAACTTTATTGGGCCTCAGATATGTTGGAGGTTTATGTTTAGAGACTCTTATTTTAAAAGGATGAAGGAAGTTGCATTACACTGTTGCAGAGGTAGCCAAAATTCCATCATGCCTGGACCCTCCATTACAACAACAAACAACAACTATAATAATAATATTAACTTGTAATTTCCTGAAGAAATTTTAAAAAGGGATGTGCTGGCTGGCAAAAGAGAGTGCCTCTGTGTTACAGGACCAAGTCATGATACTTGGGTGATGTGGGGGTGAACACTCCAAAATCATAACAGCACTCTTCCCACAGCTGAGCTGGTTGTTTTGATGCAACATTTGTGAGGGTGCACGCTCCTAATCGAGAATCTTCTCTGGTGAAGAGGAAGTGGAAGAAGTAACTAGAAAATTCCTGAAGACATTTTTAAAAGGGTTCCTGCCGCTGGCACAAGACAGTGGCCAAGTGGTATAGAAGCCTAGAGTCATAATATTGGGGTGACGTTTGGTTTATCACCCACATCACAATACAACACTTCCCACGGCCGAGTTGGTCGTTCTGATGTAACATGCATAGGGGTGCATGCTGCCGTTTGAACAAGTGTAATGATACTGGGGTTACCTTATTACATATAATTAAATGCAGTAAGTAAATTGTTTACATATATTTTGCAAACAGAGACACACACACTGAAAATGATTTCAGTGTTTTTTGCTAATAGTTTCGCCAAGGTTCATCAGAACCATAGGCGTCATTTTAACCGGGGACGCCGGGGACATGTCCCCGGCAAAATTTGTGATTGGCAGCTGTGTCCCCCCCACTTTCAAAAACGCCTGCTGATGAGGATTTTTGTTTTACCAGCTCAGATCTTATCCAGGGGTCGGCAACCTGTTCCCATCAAAGAGCCATTATTACCCGTTTCCCACAGTAATTCTGGACGGACCTTAATAAGCAGTGACTTAAGTGAAGCAGGCAGGTCGCGCTAGAAAATTTAGTTTAAAAAGACGTCATAAATGTTTTCCCCCGTCATTTTTGTTTATAAAATATGAAGTAAAAACTCACAATTTAATTTTCATTCATTTGTCATTAATATGTAGTCTACACCCGTGCGTTAAGTGGACCATCTTCCAGTAAACGCACAGCATCCAGCCCACCTCTCCAAATGCGTAAAATGTGCGTCAGCCGCTAGTTAGGCGCACCGTCAGCTACGTCAGCCCAGACAAGAGCAGAGCAAATAGAGACAGAATAGAGGATGATTCTGTCTGGATGTGGATGGAGATTACATTTTACAGCAGCCTGATCATCATTTAAATACGTAAACCATCACCTGTATTCTAGTCCACGCTATCAGCATTATTTTAGTTGGTGTGTGTGTGTGTGTTTTCCACATCAAACACTGGTCTAACCAACCAGACCAGCGTGTCCAGTAACATATTAATGTTACAATTAAACAGTTTCCCTTCATGTAGGCTAGGAACGTTTCACCTGCCGTGGCCCGACCGCTTCTGCTCCACATGAACTATGTGCGTGATCAAATGTCTACGCATCATGCGCCTCCATATTAGAGACGGGAACAAGCGCTGTTCAGCCAGTTTCATAATTTCATAAAAAGAACATTTTTCCAAGTGACACATCCCTCAGAGAGACCGGGTTTCCAGACCGCTTCAGTGGGAGGAAATCATTGCATGCACCATGGTTCTGCACTGCGCTGCGAACCCCTCAGATCTTCAGCTCACTGTCCACCGTGATCGCTCCGAGCCACGCTGAACACAGTGTCCAGTATAAAGCTCTGATGGGAATCTTTTACCTCCGCGATGTGCGTTAACGATTAAAATGTCAGCTCATCCATGTGCATCAGTGTGCGTCGGGGTAATTCTTTCAAACCAAGCAACATCCTTGAGTTCATCTGTCAAAATAAACAGTCGAATGGAAATATCTGTAACCTGCCGTTTAACTGTTTTGCCTTCTTGTGAAGATTGTTGCAAAGAGAAACAATTAAACTTGATTAACCCCAGAGCCACCCAGAGCGCATGTGGGAGGGTTCCTCCCACTGAAGCGAGTGTTTTCCAAACCCGGTCTCTCAGAGAGAATTGTCACTTAGAAAATGTTCCCTGATTATGAAACTTTGGCTGAATAGCGCTTGTTCCTGTCTCTAATGTGGCGACACATCCAGGAGCCTGTCTGAGGAGAATCCCAGAATCTCACCTTGTCTTCAGCTCATAAAGTGCCTATATGATTACACACAAGCGTGACGCGTCAACCCGGTCTCACAGTAAGACCGGGTTGGACCTGTTCAGGTTTACGCAGACAATCTTTACATTTAGAATTGGCATACAGATGTAAAATTAATGCAGTAAAATACAAAGCATTTTATTTAAATATCCATTCATTATTTAACACAGAGCTGCATCAGATGGATGGAAGAGCCGCATGCGCCTACTTTATTGTCCCCAGCAATTTTTAAACCCCACTCAAGTGTATGGTTATTGTCCCCAGCAATTCTGAAAACAAACTGACGCCCTTGATCAGAACGCTTGTAAAAGTAATTGGAAGAATAGTAAAGTAAGTAATTACATTTTATTTATTTAGCATTCATCCCAGAATTACAACGTGCTTCACATAGAAGCAAAACAAATCATAAAGTCATAAAACCATAATGATCTTAAACAAAACAGTGTCACGTTGGGCTGAAGTTTTCTAACCCACATGAAAGAATCACACGAGGAGAGAGGCGAGTAAAATATGTTTTTATTATAAAGAAAATTAATGAAAACAAAAAGCGCTGATCCAAACTGGGCCAGGAGGGTGTTCTGATTCTAAAACAGAAGATAGCAAAAATGACAACTGAGAACCAAGAAAACACTGGAGTAATGGTGGTGGAGTCTTACTGTACGAAGTGTGGGTCTGAGCTGGAGATGGTCTGGTGGAGAAGAGTAGCAGGCAAAGGAGTAATCCAGGACAGGTGAGAGGCGGAGAGCGGGAGACCAGAGGAGTTGAGCGGCGTTGGGAAATAAATCCACTTCAGACTGCAGGAAGCTGAAGGTAAGAATCCAGGGCTGGTACTGGAGCAGACAAGGAGAGCAAAACTGAGCACACGGGAGAAAAAAACCCACGAGACTAGTTTCTAAAGGAACGAGGAGAGCTAGAGCACCCAACAATAGAGTATCAACCGGCACTGAAGTGTGGCAACACCGCTCCTTATATCCTCTGGCCTGGCTGGATGATAATCAGCTGCAGCTGCGGCTCTCCAACCTGCTCACCTGCAAACACTCAGGAGCACAGCCACAGAGAAAAAGCAGAACCATGACAAACAGAAATAAATACAAATAAAACAAACTCATAAATTTATAAAATATCATAAAACCAGTAAAAAATGATTACAAATTTGAGTAAAAAAATAGGAAAACAAAATTTTTTGGTAAAAACAGCTTTAAATAAAAGGGTCTTCAGCTGTTTTTTAAAGGTTACCAGACTGTCAATACTACATAAGGTTAAAGGAAGTTCATTCCAAAGCCAGGGTGCAACAACCTGGAAGGAGCGATCCCCTTGACTTTTAAATCTGGTCTTTGGAACTTCTTGGGTCGGATCAGAAGAAACAAAAAAGGATATAATCCTCGGGTGGAGAGCAGCAAGGGCCGCCAATAAGCAGCATCAGCCTCTTCTTTGCTCTTTCCCTTGAGTTTTCCTCTTTAGAACTTTGCTTTATGACATCAT